TTAAGGGGGAAATATCTGGTGTGTTAAATTGCCAAATCGCCGCAAGGGACAGCTGTTAAGCAGGGATCACACGACTTGTACATTTGTACATTTTGGCAGTTACAGAGTGGTGTTGTCTGAAAAGTCTTTCATGGAGCCGAGCTCAAATTTCTAAACAACACCACTATGTGACTGCCAAATCGTACAAATGTACAAATCGTGTGATCCCTGCTTAATAGGTATAATCCCAATGAACTAGCTTGCTTCAAGTACGCCCCAATCACCAGTGTTGTCGTAGAAAGAACGTTTTCCTTATACCAAAAATTTTTGCGGCCAAATAGGGAAAACTTCGAAAATTATAACGAGCTATTTCTTTGTTTGCCAATAAAGCCCTGAACAAAGAAAATTAAAAAAAATATTGAGATTAAATATGTATTTTTAATTTATTGTAAATGATTTTTTACTTTTTACTTTAAGTGCTTATTTTTTTTAATACATACATATTTTAAAATTTTAGATAAATATGTAATTAATTTTGAGTTTTTCGTGGCACTAAAACTTACAGTATATCCTTGTGTTACATTTAAACTTGTAATAAAATATGAAAGGTAAATTCAAAAAATTAAAAAACAAAACAAATGCGAGAAGTCTTTTTGCACTTTTTTCTTGTTTTCAGTGCATATTTTTTAGTTTTAGTGTATATTTTGGATTTTTTCGTTCACATTATAGGCGATTAATTTCGGTTTTTTAGCGCGTAGAAATCCGGGCCCTAATTACAATAGTATTAAAATCAATTGAATTTAATACTAAAAATATGAAAATAAAATTATAGTTTAAAAACTAAAAACTCGCTATTATTACAATGTGAACTAAAAGGCAAAAAATTATTTATAGAAATACACATTTGATCAAAGCAACATTGCAAAAAATATAAAAAAAAAGGTTTTTTCTTAACAGCGGTCGTCCCTCGGGAGGCAATGGCAAACCTCCGAGTGTATTTCTGCCATGGAAAACAGCTTCTTATAAAAATACAATCACCGTTCCGTTTTGTGACAACATCAAGGCGCACGCTACAAGTCGGAGGAGAAGCTCGGTCAAACACTAACATATGTGTAAGCGCCAATCTATTATTATATTATTATTATTATTTTTGACTTTTTAGTTCACATTGTAATAAAAGCGGGTTTTAATTTTTGAATGTATATCTTTATTTACATTTAGTTAGAAAAGTCAATTGTTTTTTTCACAAGAAAGAAAAATCAATTGTTTTTTTGGCAATTGAATCATATAGCTGATGCCAGATAAAACTTTGTAGCTTTGCGTGACATTTATAACTTTGCCAGCAAAGCGCCAGACGCAAAAGGTATGCCACAATGAACGCCAAGAAAACAATGTTGTACCGCTTTTTTACTCATCAAAGTTGCTGTGGATTTTAATTATTTTGATTTAAAATTATCAGCAATGTAATTAAGTTTTATGTTTCTGCATGAAAACCCGAATTTGGACGAAACAAAATAAATATTAAACCGGCTGATTGTCAAAGCGCGCAAAAAGATGGGAGTTGACCATCTTTTCGCTTCGCGCTGCCGCTTCAACGATTTATGTGGCATGCTTTGTGCATTTTCATACAATTCATCTTATCTGTCAAAGCGAATCTGTCACGTAAAGCGAAGCAAAAGTTTTATGTGACATCAGCTTATATGTCTCAAAAAATAGAGTCAATAGAATAAATAATTTGATTTTTCACATTCTGATTCTACGGAAAAAATTCTATAAGCATCAGTGGTCATAAGTTGTACCACAAGAATTTATTGAAATTTTTTAGGATTGTGTTATCAAATTATTTGAATATAAAATGTTGCGTGCGCAGATGTAAGCGTTGAGTGTTGTTATCGTAAAACTAAGGAAAAATATGCACACATAAAATTTTTTTATCAAACTGTCGTGCATAGAATTGAAAGCAATAACACATGAACATATGTATAGTAGGATGTATAGTAGTGTCCGACCGAAGCTGGAATTTTTGCCGAAGCCGAATATTAGGTCTTATTCAATATTGGACCGAACACTGAAGCCGAAGCCGAACATTAAAATACAGTTTTACGTTTCAAAAATAATATGTCTGTGATTTTTATTTCGTAACAAAAACAGATTTCCAACCAAACTGATTTGTGTAGATCAGGGGCGCCTGTTGTAGAAGATTTTGTAGGGTGTTTTTTATATATCTTGTTCGATAATATTTCTTAGCTGCTCTACATTATGGAAAGTTGAGAGAATGAACTAAATTTTTTTTGGTCAATTACGATATCTAATTTCAATGTAAAAAAATGGAACTAAACAATTGTCCAGGGTGCTCGCGCATTTCATTTACTTCAATAAGAAAATTATTCGCAACATCAATGCAGCTCCACAGAGAGCAAAGGCTAGCTAATATAACAGAGTATGGTTTTACTGAATAAGAAACTTAATATGATAACAATAAGGAATCGCCTCTACCTTCGTCCACAAATAATTCAATACGGTCCTTTACATCTTTCTTAGAAGTCATACTTTTTCCTTAGTTTTTTTCTAGGAAAAAACGGGGATTTAGTACTAAAACACAAGCTAGGAATTGAACATATGCTAGGCACACGCGTCAAACATACTTTTTCGATCTACACACAATATGTTAGTGTTTGGCCGAGCTTCTCCTCCGATTCGTGGCGTGCGCCTTGATGTTGTCACACAAAGGGGAGGGACCTACAGTTTACGCCGACTCCTAACGGCGATTGCATTTTTATGAGAAGCTGTTTTTCATGGCAGAAATACACTCGGAGGTTTTGCTTTTTCCTTCCGAGGTTCGACCGCTATTAGAAAATAACATTTTTGTTTATTTTATTTTTTTTTTTATGTTGCTCGGAAACTGCGCTTGAACACAGGCCCTGCGGAATGGTAGCGCGCACTGCTTAGCACTACACCACAGCAGTCGCTAATTGTTAGTTTATGAAAAGTTTTAAATCTTTATTCCTTTGCAATCATATTTGTTGCGTATACCGTTATGTACAAACATTACTTCAGTTACTATAATATTTATCAAACTATTAAAAACGAGCCATTCTCTTGGAGTGTTCGAACCAGTCATATGATAATAAATAATCATTCGCAATTTTCTCGTACGTGAAATACAGTTTTACGATCGGTTTGGGTAAGGTTTAATCCCTAATATAGTGATCGGACTTTAAAAAAATTCTGTGTGGTAGAATCTGGAAAAAAATGTTGTAGATGTCAAAAAAATGTTGTGGATCTCTGGGTTTGGATCAAATTTTGTACAAAAATTCTGCGAGGTTTCACGTAAATGGTAAACTTTTTAATTAGAATCTAAAAAAAATGTATTTTAGTATAATAAAGTGCAAGGTTGAAGTTGCTAAAAATTGCGTTGAGTTTTGGCAATTTTTTTCCTTGACAGTGTAAAGCAGTTCCTTTCATATTAAGATATTTTTCGAATATATTTTAAGAGATTTCAGCAACCTTAAGAAGTGCTGCCAGCTTTTCTTTTTATCACATCACGAAGTAGCGAACAAATGTGGCACCTTACAGAAACAGCTAATTGGGACAATTTTGACAATTCTCAAATAAAAGTAAACAACGCCTCAGAAACCTTAGATGCACTTAAATTTGCTAATACTTTCACAAAAATCGTCGTTTTTTAATATTTTCGCCATTAATTCTTTTTATAAATCATATATTTTGCAACTTAACACAATAAAACCGCGTTTCCTGTCAAAAAATTGATTACTGAGAAAATTTACTATTTTACAGTTTATTTTATCCTCCCATTCGGCTTTGTTTACTTTTACTTGAGAAATTTCATCGTCGCCGGGAATGCGGAATCTTGTATATAGTGTTTAGTGTTGGACAATTTTTGCTCTTAAAATAAAGAAAATTATATCAAGCAAAAACAAAACTACTCAAAAACGCAAATATGTGGTAGATTTCAGACCTTGAGTGGTAGATGTGGTAGGTGCTCAAAAAAGTGGCAGATCTACCACAATGTGGTAGAAGTCCGATCACTGCCCTAACCCCCCTTAGTGTTCGCCGCTACTGGATTCTATAAACTTTCACAAAATTTAAAATGTAAATTTCTATGAAAATTGTGTTGCTAGCTTCGTGTTGCCAACATGTTGCAAGCTTTTCACAGCGTGAACACAATGCTACTTTGCTGAGGAAATGTTGTGGAATTTCACACTTATTTCACAGAAAGAAATTTTTTTATGTAATTTGACAGATTTTTCACGTGAAACAGGAACAGCATTTTATGATTTATATGCCAAAAAAGCGTTTTCTCTAAGAGATTTGATCGTCTATCGGTGTACAGCTGACCAGCTGAACTAAATGATTGCTCGCTAGCCACATTCGTCGGTGGCGCAGTTAAATACTTTTTCGCAACCTTTTTTAAATTAAAAAAATCCGAAGAATGCCAATAATGGAATATATTGACACTACGGAAAACAAGTGGATGATCTAAATATTCGTTTATTTCGACTTCACCAGTAGTTTTAGTTTTCGCTTTGCATGTAAAATTATTTGCAAGTTTATCATCATTTTATCAATTTGTTTATCAAAAGTGTCTTCATTATCATTAGAATCGAAAGTATTACGCAAAATTTGAAAAATTGTTCTTTTACATTGTTCCAATTCATTTGCTATAAAATATTTTCCTTTGAATCTTGGATCGATTGGAGTAACAACTGTCGAGAAATGATGTAACTTCACGACAAATAAAACACCTTGTGAATTGCCAAATTGTTCGGCATTTTCGGCGGAAGGCCGAAGGCGAAGATAAAAAATAAGCCGAATACCGAAGCCAGGCGGAACCTTCGGTTTGTATTGTACATATGTACACTTTTTTTGTGCATATGAAAGTATGTACATTTGTATGTGAATTGAGTGAACTATTCACTCATGTATGTATGAATTCCATTTACATAAATACATATATATGTAGTTATATTGAGTTTAACAGTTTAATTAAGAGCGTCTTAAGCGTCGGTCGACTCCTATTTCATTGTTAATTGTTTTCTTCGTGCTAGCTTTGAAACATAAGATAATATTATTATATATATTACTTATAACCAGGTTTTAGAATGGGGCAGACGTATTTATTTATATTATTTTTGGTCTGCATCTGTTGCGTGACTACATTAAGAATAACACGCAGCTTTTGCCCAAAGGATTGTAATTGCTTCGATCGTACTGTTCGATGTATACATTTAAATTTGGAATCTGTTCCTCGGAACATAAGCAACGATGTCCAGTTGATGTAAGTACAAATATTTTATATTATTATGTGGAAAAAATTACCAAAAAAAACTAGATACATTACTTAATTACTGACCAGACTCTCTCTTTCAGAGGAGAAAAGATGCACTAAACTTAAGCTTAGACTAGATTACACAGGTCAAAAAAATTTAACTTTTAGGAAGCAGAAAACTCTAATATATATTTTATCAGGATGGTTATATCCAGTGTTGCCACAACATCTTTTTATTTTTTACCAAAATCACCGGAAAAAGTTACCAAATTCAACAAAAAATTACCAAACTTTTTTATGTGTAGAACTGTGCAAACATACATATCGAGCCCTAACCGCGAAAATAACGTAGATAAGTGACATTTTTTCAAAATATTCTTTTTGTTGCAGAAATATTCCTAGAGCATCTAGATGCCTTTCTGCATCAAAAAGAAAATTTTGAAAAAATTTCGTTTATGTTATTTTGACAGTTAAGGCTATCACACTGGGGCAGCCCCATATAAGCGGGTGCTAAAATCATTTTTTTCAATTCCACTCGCTTGAACTACTTTTTAAGAGTAAAGTTTTGACGTCTTAACCCATTATCGAGCATGCCCATTGGTGACCCATTTTTTTGTAATGTCTTATGTTAAGTTAATTTGATTTTATTATCATGCAAATTATGAATAATTTAACCCATTTACGACTTCGACTTAACGCACAGATGATCATATTTTAACGCATTAGTGGCTAATTTTTATATAGAGTCTTTCCCCAGCTAATTTTATTAAAAATAGATAAGTTTAGGTTATAATATAATCAGGAAGAACAAGTCCTTTCGTCTCTAGGATAGCTTTATCAATGAATTCGCAATACTTAGCACCAGGGTTCGGAAATATTCACTCACCTTCGTACGCGAACGCGAACGCGAACGCGAAGGTGAACGTATCAAATATTCTCTACTGATTCTCCTACGCGAACGAGAAGCATAAAACCAGCCCATATAGTTCGCGTTCGCGTATGTATTGGTGGACCAAACAGCGTGCGTTGATATTAGCAGTGTTGCCGTTTTAGCCCTTTGGTGGCTAGATTTATCTACCACATACTTTTTTTGGCCACATAAATTTAAAATTGGCCCTAGTTTTTTAGCCCTTTTTAGAATTTATTCATACTTGGCATGAAAAAGTTGTATATGCTTAATTTTTTTTTGCATTTATGTAAGAGATGCATTTTTAAACTAAGAAAGGCTAATATATATACATATATGTATTGTATGTTCCTTACGCTTTTATACATACATACTGTAAAAGTGTTGGGGCTATTAACTTATCTGTTAACGATATAACTATAGTTTAAAATAGATAAGTTTACGGCCCTTAATATTCTAAATTTGCTAAATGACCCATCAAGTCGATTGACCGCGTATGTTCTGTGGTGTGATTGTACCAGCATGCTGGTGTCGTTTGTGGTGAAATTAGCTAATTTTTTTAGGTAAAAAGTATTTTGGCGGAAATTTCTTGCACTATATGAGTCAAAGCCGTGTTTGTGGAAGATTACGTTCACGATATTGCAGTTGTGAATTACAAAAAAAAAACAATATTTAACAAAATGCTAGAAAAATTATGAAATTTCGGCTCTAATCATTTCGATCTTTCCTCGACCTCATTTGTAAAGAAATAAATATTGTACCAGCATGCTGGTAAGTTATATGCTTCGAGCCTGATGGTACAATCACTTGATGAAACCAGCAAGCTGGTGTCGTATATTTCCCCTTTTATACAAAAAGGTTTTAGGTTGGATAAAATATTAGATTTTTTTCCAAACTTCATTGTTTTTATATACCATTACTTATAATGTTTACGTGTATACTTATATATGTATATGTAAGTAAAAAATTTTAGCTACCATTTTTAGCCAGAACGACTTTTTTTAGCTCTTTTTTAGCCCTTTTTTTAAGGAATTTGGCTACGACTAAAAATTATGCGCGGCAACACTGCATATTAGAGGGCTGCAAATTTCACAGCCAAACTGCACTTTTCACATTCAATCGAAAAATAGGAACACATGCTTGCGGTACCCCAAAAAAAGTAACAAAAGTAGAGAACATCCCAAACGAGCGTATCTGAACGATGTTACTCGACGGCGCTCTCCTTCACCAAATACGTGTTCCGCTATGCTCACATACTTAAGTATTAAGCTACCTGAACGTAGTATTTGGAAACTTCACATAGGAAGTTCAAACTGCACATGAAGTTTTATGTTCTCTTTATGTGTTTGGATTCTACTTATAACACGCGAAGACATTTTTTTTAGAATGTGATCAAGTTTGCATTCGTTCTATTTCCAAAAATGGGGTGTGATATTAAAGCGCTTGGCCTGTAGATGCTCCGTAAGGATATATTTTTTTAATAGGGCTGCCACCTGTGCCACCCAGGTAGAAGTTTAATTATTACTCGCGTATATTAGGTTTAAAAAATTGTCGCTGCCTTAGATTATTTTTCTACGTACCATACGCGAAAGCTGTTTTATTTCAAAATACTAAATACTGCTTCTAATAATTTTGAGGGGTGTGCTCAAAACGATATATGCAGGCAGAATCGCAACTATTGTTGTTGAATGACATTTTTCCTTAAAGATTTCTGGGAAATATTAACGATCATCATTTAACGAAGATGCTTTCCATTTTTGTTACAGGTCGGCACACTTCAGCAAGTCTATAGGTTTGTCTAAGCCCTTTCATTTGACACCTAATTTTTGAGAATCGGAAGAACGGTGTATATTACAATTTTTAACGCAGGTGGCAACCCTATTAAAAAATGTATCCTTACGGCACATCTAGAGGCCAAGCCCTTTCATTTGACACCTCATTTTTGAGAATCGGGAGAACGGTGTAAATATCATAATTTTAAACGCAGGTGGTAACCCTATTAAAAAAATATATCCTTACTGTACATCCATAGGCCAAGCCCTTTCACTTGACACCTCATTTTTTAAAATCGGGAGAACGGTGTAAATATTATAACTGTAAACGCAGGTGGCAACCCTATTAAAAAAACTACATCTAGAGGCCAAGCCCTTTCATTTGACACCTCGTTTTTGAATCGAATGAACGGTGCAAATCTTATCACCCGATTTACATGATTCAAGTACTTGAAAGCTCTTCCTCTTTTGTGTTTTCTATTTGCTTTTACACGTTTCAATTCAGTTGAATTCAAGTTTTTGGTTCTTTAAATGGGAAGCAACGAAAGTACCAAAAGCAAAGCAAGAAAATTGAAACGACTTGACGGTACAGACGCATGTGTACTCGTCCCTTTCCTTCTCACCCCCTCTCTTCCAGATGCAAGCAGAATTGAATTCAATACTTAAATTGTATAAAAGCAATCTAAGCAAATAACAAAATTACCTTCGCATAGAATTGTATCTCCAGCCATACCAACTTTCCGCGAATGTTTGACGCAGTATTTACATTCACTTATGAATGAGAACGACAACAGTGAACCTTCGCGAAGGCATCGCTGCCACTTATAGCTACATACTATATGAACACACGCTGTTTGGTCCATCAATATATACGCGTACGAACAACAGCGGAGCTTTTTTCTACCTAACATTCGCGAACGCAAACTATCTGAACTGGTTTTATGCTTCTCGTTCGCGAAGGAGAATCAATAGAGAATATTTGATACGTTCACCTTCGCGTATCTATATCTATACTCTATACTAATTATATAAAGAGAAGTCCCTTTTTTTTGTAACAGGTAATCTCGCGAACGGCTGATCCGATTTTCATGAAATTTTGTATACAATTAGCTTTCGGTAACCACCATGTTTTCGGCTAAAAAAATTTTACTTTTTTTTGGGTAGGTGGACCAGGGACCGGTCTATTCGAAAAAATCTTATTATAGTCCGATTTGCTTAAAATTTAGTACGTAAGTAGCCTTTTAGCATATATTAGCATATATGACCCATTTTTTCCGGGAAGTGGTCCAGGGACCGATCTATTCGAAGAAATCGCATTTATGGTCCGATTTGCTTAAAATTCGGTACGTAAGTAGTTTTTTAGCATATATTAGGATATATTGTCCATTTTCTCCGAGAAGTGGACCAGGGTCTGATCTATTCGAAAAAATCGTATTTACGGTCCGATTTGCTTAAAATTCGGTAGGTAGCTTTTTAGGACATATTAGCATATATGATCCATTTTGTCCGAGAAGTGGACCAGGGACCGATCTGTTCGAAGAAATCGTATTTATGGTCCTATTTGCTTAAAATTCGGTACATAGGTAGTTTTTTGCCTGGATAAGCTTATAGATTCCTGTTTTCCAATTTTCATGCAATTTCGAATATAAGCTTTAAGTAACGACCATATCAAGGGGCGAATTCTTCACTAGGCAAGATTTTTTTGCGCCAATCAGAAACAACGGATACTGTCAAAATAT